AACCAGGGGCCAGCTGGGGGACCAATGAGGAGTCACGCGGAGCCCCTAAGTGCCAGCCCGTGAGGTCTGACCCGTCACACCGACCACAGTCATAGCAGCCAACAGTTTACACTCTCGCTACACCAAACAAGATGAGGTCTGGCGAAACCGCGGAAAGCGTCGCTACACAACCGAAAACCTGCCAGAGAATGAGGGGGCAGACCATGGGGCAGTGGGGGGGATTAAGCGAAATCCTCAGGAAAATAAGGAGATGCCAAAATTGGGTGGGGGGGGCACTCAGCTCAGGGGAATGTGATCCATCAAAAGGTCCTTGAAAAAAATAAAATAATAAACAGGAGCTTGGGGGGGAAAAAAAAAAAAAAAAACTGTCTCCTTAGCAACGCAGCAAACAGACAGAGATCGGGGCCAGGTCCCGTTGGTCCCGTTGCTGCGTGGAGGTCCTAGGGTCACGGCTGCGGTGGGAGCCGGTGGAAGCCAGAGAGAGAGAGAGTGCGCGATTCCTAGAAAGCGAAAGATTCAGACGCAGTGAGCAGGATGGGTCACAGAAAGGAGAGAGCTTTCCAGGGCACTGGAGTGGAAAGAGAGGAGTGTGATTACAGAGCAGAAAACCAAGGAGAGGCATACCAGCCAAGTGCACGCCGCCGAGCGGCACCTGGGGGAGGGGGCCCACCGGGGGGGGCGCACGTCCTGAAGGCCTGGGCCGTCAGGTGCCCCGGGAGTGAAGAGGGGGGGGGGGGGGAACGCCGAAGCTCTGTGCTGCGCCCAGCCCCGAAACAGCCCCTCTTTCCATTGGCGGTTTTTAATTAAGCGTGACAAGTTGAGCGGCTCTCTCTTAAAGGCTCACGTTTCATCTTAAAAGCCCATTTTTTCATATTACAACTGAAATTTGAATTTTTTTCTAAGATAATAGTAGGGGTATTATTCACAACAGGCGTAACATGACACCCAATTTGCAAAAAGTGTTTCTTACAACTGCATATTAACACAATTCTACACTGTATAATGTTACAAAGAAACAAAGCATTCTACGTTCAGGTCTAAATATATACTTTACAAGGAGTGATAACATAATCATATTAAAAGATATATATCGAGGTCATTTTCGGCAAAAGGAAAACGTGATATAAATTAGGCGAGGCAGCGGCATCCCTAGGCGGTTCTTCTACCCAAAACTACGGCGTGGGAGAAAACAAGCGTGTGCAGCTACACGCAAGGCCAAGGAAGCGTGAAGACCGGGTGGCTTTAAGAAACACGGGATCAGGTCTGAACTGGCTAGTGCCCCCAAGAGGAAGAAGTATGACATTGCATGGTGCATAAACATTGGGAGACTGGTGTCTGAGACACTGACACGCGGGAAAACAAACCAGTGACGGAGAGTCAGGAAACCCCAGGCTGGCTCCTTGATGTTGCATTCGAGCTTATGGTCAGCATGCACCATTGCATTTAATGCGACACATAATGCCAGGGAAAAGACGCAGCCGGCAGGTGTCCAACTGAGGGCTCGGGTTTATCTAGGGTAAGTCTCAAAGACGCAGGACCCAAGTGCTTCACTCTCCGCCCTGACATAACCGTAGATAACACGCTTGCAGAGCATAAGTGGCGTAACACGCCGACCCGGATGCCCGCAGCGCCGGCTCTATTCCCGCCAACCTTCCTCGCACACACAGGGGAGGGGGGGAATTGTGCAACAAGGCTGCACCTGCGCTGGCAAGACTTCCCCCGCTGTAACCCTGGCAGTAACCTCACCCCCATCGGACTACCAGGGGCGCGTGACTGATGTGGAACCGACCTCATAGCCGCTGAGCTCGCTGGAAGCTGCTCAACTTCCAACGCCAAATCCTAACTCCCACTCAGCCACCTCATCTCCAAACCACACACACACACACACACACACACACAGACGTCACACACGGCGTGGCCCAGTTCAAAGGCACCGGCGACACAACACCCCGGTCCATGAAAACGAAACCAGAGAAGCGGCCGCTTTCAGATGAAGGAGGAGAGGGTGTGGACGCCGACGCCCAGCTCGCTTTGTGACACACTCACGACTCCGACATGATTAAAGGGCAGCGATACGGGGGGGCAAAACAAAACAAAACAAAAGAGCAGTGAGTCAACAGCAGCAGAAAGCCCACAGGTGCCCCAGGACGAAACAGCTCAGTACTGGGAGTCCCACACAAGCATGGTTATCACAGGGCTCCTGAAGGGAACAGAACAGAGGCAGAAAGAAAGTCTTACCCTTAAAACCCAGGAGATCTGAAAGTGATCTTACCCTTTCACTGGCCAAGGAGGGGGTGGGGGGTTAACTGGAATATGCACCCCCCCCCCCATTAATAAATCCACCATGGGGGGGGAGGGGGGAGCGTATGCCAAGTATTTCCATCGACCGCACTAACAAGCGAAGCCAAGCAAAATGTCCAGAGGACCCAGGAGGAACTCCGACGCGGGAGGTGCGTGCGATTAATTGGACGTGCCGACGCACTCCTGGGCCAAGCGAGATGTCAGGGGGGGAAAGCGCATTTAAAGGGCCGCTCCCGAGCGATCCTGAGGTGAACACGGGCTGCGAAATCCGATAACGTTGCCGAGGTAAAGGGAAACACCTGACACCACAACAACAACAATAAAAATGCTGCAGGTTAAAAAAAAAAAATTATATACGTGCGTTTCTGGCTCTTTAGCAATAATACAAAGCCGAGATCCCCGTGTTCTCCGGAGCGTCTCGTGAACCGAACAAACGGGATGCGGAGCCGAGCTGTCGACATTTCTCATGTACGCCCCGGGGGCGTCGTGGACAACAAAGCCGACACTGGCCTCTTCCCACGTGAAAAAGTGAGCGGGGGCCGCGCTCGGCAACTCCGTTGCGTGTGTCACGGCCACGCGTGAGAACGCGTGGGGCGTGAGAACAAAAAAAAAAAAAAGGGGGTGAAAGAAACAGAGAGGGAGGTTGGATGGGGGGAGGCAGTAAACATTTGTGGAATTTCAGAAGAAGCATATGAATCATCCACCTCTCTTGGCCTTCAGGAAAAGAAAGCAAACTTACATAATCAGAGCAGGCATCTTAGAGGAGAAGAGAAACAAAATAGCAGGAGGAGGAGAGGAAACACGAAGGAACTTTACAAGAAATGTGGAGAAGCAGAACAACAGGCAGATGGGAGGGCAGCGCCAATGCTTCCAACGCGCTCCAATGGGACATCGGGGGGCGCCGAGGTCAAGGAGACCGCAGGCAGGTTTACAGAGCTGAGCCGTTAATGCCGATCTAGACACCAGCCCCCGCCCCCCATGCCACTGAGCTGATGCTAGTTTGCAAACCCAGCCTGCAGGATGAGCCCAGCACAATGGTTACCTCTGCACATACATGTTTTATCAGCCACCTCTTGGGGGTTCCTGGTGCTTGGTTTCCATCTAGTGGCTATAACGTGAACTGTAGAGTGTGAGAGAGGTGTACTGATATTCGAGGGCAAGAAACAAGAATAAAGTGTTCTTCGTTGACTAAAGACCCAGCCACTTGAGGGAACTAACCACTCAGATTCTGTTAGCTATGGAGTTAACATTACTTAAAGCAAAGACCCCCAAAAGAAAACAGACCAGAGCTGGAGCCCCACAGGGCATCACAGGGGTGGCAGCCCTTGAGTGTTCGGGGGAGATCTTGCGTTGAAAACTCATGCGTTAGCTACTTCTGAAAGCATACTGCCACTTATTGGCAAATGGCTGTAATAACATGCAATTAATGTTGCCTAATACATTCCTCAAAAGTCATCCTGTACAATAATGTAAAAAGAACAATCATTTTGCAAGTTGACCATGATTACGAAGCAAATAAGCAGGATTTCTGAAAAACCAGAATCGAAGAAGCTGTCAAGCAATAACATGCAACATTTCAAAGGCTGTTAAAACAGATTTAGAAAAATGCTCTTAATGTGGTATTTTAAAATACTGTTTCCAAAGGTGGTGTGACACACCTTTAACAAGCCTTCCGGAGCTATTTAGATTCACAATTTTAAAAAGTCCAAAAACAACAATAATGAAAAACAGGCTGCTTGTCTTCTGTGGTGTATTTTTACCACAAGCTAAGTTTAGGCACCTCCCCTTAACGACATTTCACAAATAAACCCAAAGTTAATTAGGCATCTGGTTGATTGGTGGTATACAATTTAGGGCTAAAATAGTAGTGAGCCGTAGGAGGTGTGAGGTAGCAGTTAAGCTACGCAGTTGACTGAAATACACACCTCACTCCAGGCATGTCATTAAAATGTAATCATTTCGTAATAACTTTTAAAAAGGCGGTATAAAGGCTAAACCATGCCGACATGCTATAACATAATCGCTTGGTTATAATGGGGGATCATTTTTCAAAACTTTAAACATGTGGATGTATCATCCTGCCTTGGAGAGCCACCAACAGCAAGTGACACTGTATATGTTAATGGCCATAATGACAAATACATTTTAGTTCTCATCTTGAAATTTAACCAGAGGCATAATTTTTAAAGCACTAACATGCTTAGCAGACATTCTATATCTAGGGTCACCTGCACAAATCACAATGGAAAATTGCTTTCATCACTTTGATGTTAACCAAGGCAATTCATTGTGTGAATCCAGCTCACAGACGTTCCAAGCCCTGGGAACTGACACAACATCCTTGTGCTCCTGTTAAATAACCTTTATGTGATGTTCTCTGATTTATGATACTCAGGTTTTCGCTCTTTAGACACTCTGGAACACTTACTCCATCGGGATCCGAAACTGCACGGTGTCAGGAGGCTGTTCCTTGCCAGGTCTCACAAGGGTAAGAAAGAAGTTGGGCCGGAAGATCCTCAGCTGTGGGTTCCCGAATTGATACAAAGGATATCTGAGCCGGAAAAACAAATAAGTCTTAGTTTCAAAACAGGACAAAAAAAAAAATCAGGCTGCTGATTTAAACGCAGTGCTGTCTCGATGTTTTGTTTATAACGGAGTATTTAATACATGAAATCTTGACTTCGGAACCACGGTCCCTCAGTTATTTTAGAGGGGGACACCTCGATTTCATTCCCTATTAATTCACCTACAAATGACCCACAGCAGCGACCAGGGGAGTTTTGACAGGATCCCGGACTATTCATTGACAGACAGCCAAGGTTCCGAAAAGACAAATAAGGAAACTGACCGAAATTATAGTGCCGTACTAGCTAGCCTGCTAGCTAACACCTACATGACCAGAAAACGCTACTACGGATTTAAAACAGGGAACAGATTCAAATGAATACTTACAGAACTCTCCTCGACATTGTAAAAAGAAATTGTAAAATAAAAAATCCCAGCTATAACAGCGTGCCAGGCGCCTTTGCCGTTTTGTTATGAAGCGAGTGTTTACGACACTAGCGACGCACGTGGGTTTCTTCCGCTAAAGGTCACGTGAAGGACAGAGTAAAGAGAATTCGGGCGCGTTCCGAAATACTGAAGATTTTTTTATACTGCCCCCTACCGGACACAGCAAGAACGCAGTGCGCGCTGCGATTTACGTGCATCATTCGGTGTAATGTTCACCGGAAAGTTTCTTGGCAGGCAGGATCCTTTCTTTTTTATTATTATTATTTACCCCTATTCTTCACCAGCGACCTTGAGAATTGTGAAGGAAAATACAGGCAAATTACAGCTTTTCAAAACTTGCGCTGTGATGGGTGTGTGACAGCGATATCAAACAAATCACAGCATTGAAAACTATTACTATCAGACTCAGATATAGGTCTAATTCAATCGCGTGCTTTTGCCTCCCATTTCGAAAAACAAATTACATTTATTGTGTGCAAATGCTGTTAAAGTTTCGTTCTTAGAACTTAACAGAATCACCTGGTTCGTGTTGTTTTAATTATGCTTTCAATTCAGTGAATACTAACTATCCTGAGATGTGTCATATATATACTGCATAATAATGATCTTAGACTTATAAGTACATGGGTCCAGTGCTGTCGAAAGTCATTGAATGAAATACCAAATACTACCAGTTAACATGCAATCTCGTTTCTTTGGTTTCATATTTAACACAATCAAATTCCATGCCGGACAATATGCTTTTTATTCAGTTAATACATAGGAAGTAGCATACAGCTTACAATTATAATTGCAAATCAGACCTACTGTATGTTATTTTCTATCTAATATATACCTTTTAACACGGGAATTTTGTTTACCAGATTAAAATACATATTTTAATGTACTATAGAACTGCACATAGTTTAACACATTACATGCCCACCTCTGGAAAACAAATACATCCGTTATTTGAACTATCTGACATATTACAGCCTGTTTGAATTTGGTACGTGCTTAACTTTGAAGTAACAACGTATCCCTTGGATCACAATGCACTTTCTCCCCAAGAAATATTTGACATTATATGGAATCAACAAATCACTCCTGTCAGACCTTTATTAAACATACTAAGCACATCGTTTCCAGAAGGTCACTGAGCTGCTTCTAAATAAACCCAGTAGCAGCAAAAGTACATAGAAACACACAGCGATCTATATAGTATCACACCTCAAACAAGCAAGAAGTAGAGTGAAGAACAAGTAACACACTATTCCAGGACATTAAGAGCATCCGTCAGCATCTTCAGCTCGTCCTTCATACATTCCAGGCCCCCTCGGATCTTCAGCGGACTGTCCAGTACCTCTATGCCGCAGGTAAACGGGTCAAACCGCACCGAAAATGGTCTCTTGATTCTTGCAATGTAAGCCCTGTTCCAGACAAGGGAGAAAGACCAGCAAGTGATCCAAGTTTGTCAGCCCACATCCCTGAAGCCTGCAAACTACCACATGAAATTCTCTACCTGCTTAGCTTCAATATCCTCACACAGAATGGTAGACAAAGCTTATTTAGGACGCTATCACACCTATGAATTGCTCAGGCATATAACAAGTTTCCCATTCTCCCTTCATCCTATCAGTTCCTTACATCTCAAGACCAAAGGCGACTGAGCTTTTTCTGCAGTTATCCCCTACTTTGGAATAGTCTCCCACCCAACATCAAGTCCTGCTCTACTATTGATGAGTTTAAATCTAAATAAAACATCCATCTTTTTTTCTCTTGCTTTGAACTCAGTTTGAGGTTTTCCTAGGGAGTTTTGTCAAGTCCACTTAATTTAATTTAATTACCCTCTTACTTCTTTTTTCTGTTGCTTATTGTATTACATTTCCTTTAATTTTAATTATTTTCGTATTTCTTGTATGCGTATTTTCATGTTTTATTTCTATATTTTATATTTTCCTATGTTATGCATGCTCTTTTATTTATATATTTTACTCTGTATGTAGTATTTCTTAATTACTTCTTTCTGAACTGGAAAGCACTTTGGGTCAACTCCTGTTGTTTTTAAAAGTGCTGTATTAATAAATGACTTGATTCCATCAAGAGTCACCTCAACGTGCATATAGGGCAAGAGAATGAACACATGATACACTGCAGGGATTTCCCAGTGAAAGAGACGCCGAGTTTATTTTGGGCTGATAGTGCTTCTGCCGTTCATGGCCTCTGCCACTCCAACATCTTCCATTTTCCCAGCTACCTCAGCTTCTCTTTGGCATCTGCGAAGCTCTCAGACACGAAGTAGACGGGCTGGTAGTTCTGATCCTGGTAGGGCTGCACTGCTGCTTGTTCTGGGTCAAAGTCCCTCTTCTCAGGCTCATCTGACAGGGAGTGCTGGTGAAGACAAGGACACACAAAGCACATGGAGGTGGTGAATTCAAACATCATCTGAGAGCATGCAGACTTTTGGCTTTGGCCTAATGGTTAGGGAAGCACACTTGTAACTTGAAAGATTGCTTGTTCGAATCCCCAACCAGCAAGGCACCACTGAGGTGCCCTGAGCAAGGTACCGCCCCCAAGCACTGCTCCCCGGGCGCTGAAATAGCTGCCCCCTGCTATGTCACCATGTCACATATGGGTTAAATGCAGAGGACACATTTCGTTGTTATGCACTGTGTGCTGTGGTGTGTCAACACTGATCACCAGTTTTAAATTTTTTTTTCTTCATCTGGATTATAATCCTTCAGTTTTCATTTCCTTTCCACTGGATAGAAAGGAAAGGCGGTCATCCTACCTCTTCCAGAAGTTCTGGGAGTTTCCTGCAAATTGACAGCAGCGTCTCACACCCGCAAATGATGCACATTGTCCCGGAAATCTGTCATTCCGCTATTCAGCGGTGAGAAAATTAGCCAGCAAGAAGCTTTGCCGCTGCAACCTCGCGTCATATTTTAGCACCACTTTCTAGCACTGTTTTCCTGCCCACTGTCCCTCACCCCAGTTGGCAATATATGTACAGTATTACCATAATACTAGCCAAGCACTGGTCAGTCCCCCTGCCCTCCTGGATGGCCCTCATCTGCCTCCCTGAAATGAATGTCCCTAAGGTGGGATGTCTGGAAAGGTGACATGGTTCATACTCACCACAAGCTCTCCGTAGGAGGACAGGAGACCAGCTCCATAGGCTTTGATTACACCCCCCTGTTTGCAGAGGCCAAACTCCACTGTGAACCAGTACAGCTGAATGTTTCACAGCAGATGAAAAAATCAGGGGTTAGTCCTGTATAATGTTTCAGGAGGTAAAGTTACAGGCATCGTTTAGGCTTCGAATTCTACACGGTTGCAGACTATGTGAACAAAGGACGTCGACGTGGGAACAGGTAGCTGTGAGACTCACAGTGGCAAGCTTCTCTATGTCTTCTTCAGAAGCACCCAAGGAAGCCAGGCCAATGGTCTAGAAGCAGGGAAGAAGCCATCTAAGTCTACAATGGTCTATGAGGCTGGGTTCGTGCACAACACAACTGTGTGCCATTGTCAAAACGCAGTTTATGTACAATACTGTGCAAAAGTCTTAGGCACTCAAAAGAAATGTTTGATGCTATTTATAAAGGTAGTAAGTGCACATTTGTTCGGAACAAAAAATAGAATTTAACAGCAGAACATATGCAAATTAAGAGTAACACAACTACTATGAATTTCTTCTGTTGTCCAAAAGGGCCTTACCTGGGAAAACTGGGCAAATGTATGGTCAGCCAGCATAGGAACATGACCTAGAAGCTCATGGACGCAATCCCTACAATTAATCATACATAAAACATATTTAATCACTGCGATGGACAGGCAAAATGCATATGCAGACCCACAGTCATATGAAAACTAGGCAGAGAAAAGCATTTCATTAATCACTGGCAGCATAAAAGACTACAGCCGTTAAATTACTTAGCGATGGTGCACAGAGCTTGATTTAAGTAAGATTTAGGTGTAGATGAAGCTGGGAATTGGGATAGAACAAAAATGTGCATCCGTCCAGTGTGCCCCGAGGGCAGGTTTGAGAGACGCTCTTCTAATTAATTACATATTGTATTTCTTTACCTCTGTAGGCTGTCGTTCTTGGTCATTGCAAGACATGCAATTAAATCAGTGATTTTTCAGTAAACGGCGTATGTTTAATGGGGGCAACGGCACTCACGGCTCTGGCGAGTGCATAGGCGAGGAGGCGTGTCGTATGTACTGCGTGCACTGGAACACGCGGAAGGCCAGGCTGGCCAGGAAGTCTCTGGCGGAGAGGAGACCCGCCACCGGCCGCAGCTGGTACCCCGTCCGCTCTGCCGGCACCAAAAGCACAAGAGAAGCTCGGCAAGGTGGGAAGAATCCCTTCACTTCCATGCAAGAAGCAGTCGGCTATTTTTAAATCCACCCTCCCATCGGTGCCACGGCAGCCAATCACCTTTAAGGAAGCGGGAAACGTCTTCCAGTTGGGGGATGTTGTCGGGGCTGTAGCCACAATGCCTCTCCAGCAGGCGAAACGCCTCAAGGTGCTCACTGCACGCGTGGGTGGTGTAGAGCCCCCGCAGAGTGGTGTAGACCTCCCTCCTACGCAGGCACACACACACAAACCCATCAGAAAGACGGATCCAGGCACACGAATCCCCAGCCAGCGCCAGACACGGAAAAGGGAAACAGACACCTTTCAGCAGGACATGTTAATAGCCCCAAGGGGAGAGCAAAGGTTCAGGTCGCAAACACTTCCTATGAGGCAAGTGAATCAGGTTCTCACTGAAATAGCATGATACACGGAAATGTGTTTTTCTGAGACAATAAACAGGATATTTCTGCACTAACTAATCCCCAAAGTGCGCTGACGCTTGTTCTGCTGTGCCTTGATTGAGTTATTGTGGCACGTTGCTAGGGCTTTGGGACCCGAGTCGTAAATCCCACAAAAAAAAGCACACAAATTATTCCCAACTAATTGCATTAAAGCTGGAGGCAGATAATGGCTGTTTTACAAGGTAGGATGTGGAGGAAATAGGTCACATCATCATCTTCCTCAGCCTCAATCTTTTTGGTGATGAGAATCATCCTTCCTGTCTATATGTGTGAAAAGCAACATTAGCAGCGGCGATCTAATCATTTCTGCTCTGCAGACTTTGCTGTTATATGGATTTGAGGTTCCAGCTTCACCAACCATGTGCCGATCTCTTCCTCGGTATATTCAACTCTGGGGATAGGTTCACCACTAGAGGAAGAATAAAAAAAATACAGTGAAACGACTTTTCTGGAGGATCTGCTATGTGTCTGATGATTGAGAATGAGAACGATAAATGCAATTTACATACTGTTTGTATCTGAAGGCAATTTCTCCGATTGCTTTCCTCCGTTGCCTGTAGTTGGGGTCAGTAAATCCCTATGTAATTCAATTGAAAAAAAATCAGACCACATGGCTCTCTTGCTTAAATATTATTCTTAATACAATGCTTTCTTGGCAAGGAATGCAATGCTGAGGGTATGCAATAACTGAGGAGAACGGTGTTTACTAACCGGGTGATCCTGGTCTAGATCTGGGTCGAATTTGGTTACCAAGTGGTGGCACTTGTCCAATTCTGAGATTTTTTTTGGGAACCAGTGAACTGGGCGTACAGGAAATACAAAAGAAATGAAACAGAATCATTACATCCACCGCGTTTCTTGTGATTTCTGACATCACTCTGACGTGAGGGACAGGAAGAGATTCACAGAACACGCGTACCTCTGACTTCTTTGGTGGTGCGGACATCTTCTGCGACCCTCTTCATGGAGCTTATCAGCGTGCCCACGTCCGACAGGTGCACCACACACCTCACAAAATACTCAAGCTCCTCCAGACTCTCTCTGGGCTTCCTGCTCGGTCGAGACTCCAGGTGATGGATCTTTGCTTCAAACGTCTGCATCCACAAGGCAAAATGTGCAGGATCCAAGTCTCAGCCATTAATCTCTAGTAATTACTCTGAATTTAAGAAACTTACAAACACGTTGGAAATTTATCTGCAATGACCAGTGATTGAAGTGTAAAAAAAAAAAAAAAACAGGTGCTGGTTACTCACCTTGTTATTCATTACTGGTATTTTACAAGAAGAGGCAGTATGCAAGTAACATTCCTGATACTCTGACAGGGCTGCCGGCTCTCACTCATCTGACGTGACACTCATGCTTTCAGACTCACGCAATAAATCTTACGGCAAATCTGTACTATTCCATTATAAATTTGCTACATCAAAAGCATTGGGGTAGTTTGCAAACCCTACAGACTATTTACAAGGTAATAAAACAAATACATACATGTAAATACGTGTGCATGTGTGTGGAGACTTGCCTCGAATTGAAAATCTCACACCAGCCAGCAGACCAAAGATGGCAGCCCTGCTCTAAAGAGAAAAATGGAGCGGTACTGGTACCAGGTACTGGTAAGTACCGGCCCTCTTCAAGCACTGGTAACCGGTTTAAGGCTTTTTCTCAGTGCTGCTAAATCAGGGCACTTCTGTGAGCGGAAGCCACAGAACATTCCCATCCCAAAGCTATCCCCATCCCAAAGCTATCCCCTTACCAAAGCTATCCCCATCCCAAAGCTATCCCCATCCCAAAGCTATCCCCATCCCAAAGCTATCCCCTTACCAAAGCTATCCCCATCCCAAAGCTATCCCCATCCCAAAGCTATCCCCATCCCAAAGCTATCCCCTTACCAAAGCTATCCCCATCCCAAAGCTATCCCCATCCCAAAGCTATCCCCATACCAAAGCTATCCCCATCCCAAAGCTATCCCCTTAGCCACTCTGTTATCTGTCATCTGGCTTTGGTCCTGTAGCGCACTCCCAGCTATCGATAAATCTCACGCAGCCGTATTCTTCTTACACCTCCATTACATTTCTATAAAAACAGCCATCTTCTCCTACGAAACACATTACTTTATGTAGCTATTTAATCTTTATTTTAAGGAAGGCCTCAGCCTAGTTTAAAGGTGAGCCTTAACATCAAATTGGTTTTGAAAACAAGTACAGAATAACAGCTGACATATAAAACTATTAACTTGGTCAAAAATACCTTTAGAGATATTTTGAAATGCATCAATACATAAAATTACTTTTTACTTCAGATTTCTTGCCTATAACAATCTACATTCCAGCCATTTTAACTTAAGGCTATATCACAGCCCAGTGAAAATCGGCTCGACTGCATTTGTTTGAAGTTGTTCCTACTACTGCCTACTGTAACTGATAAAAAAAACTTTAAAAACTTTAACATAAAGCCTTATCTATTCAACCAAATACGGAAACAAATTTGTTTAATGCATTACATAGCTCATCCCGTGCTGAAAAGAAACTAATATATAAGTGAATATAAACAGCAAAATAAATTTAGGCCTATTTAATTTCACGGTGGTCATTTGCCTTGTCGAAGGATGAGTTAATGGCCCCAAAAGCTCTCCTTTCTATTTCCTAAAATTCAATTATTTCAACACTTGTAATGCGTTTACGCGTAATTTATAAAACCTTTCCTGCTACGCGCTCCAAACACAATCTATTTGTCCTGCCTAATCTGACAGAATATTGAATTAGAGTAAGCACGTCTGAAGTCTACCGTTTCCTTGAAGTGATTGTATTATTTCTGTCTTGGGCTACACATCTGTTAGACGAAAATTAAACACGCGTTTGTACACTTCCAATTCTATGAAGACGATCGTGATTCACTTTCCGAAGTGTGTGTGTGTGTGTGTGTGTGTGTGAGGAAATACATTTTAGGATTTTTACAATGTTTACATACCTCAAAAACCTTCAGTGCCCGAGACAGCACTTGTCCCTTGGAGCTCTTGAAAGTGAAAAAAAGATTGATCAAAGCTTTCCCATCCTCCTCCTCGAAAACGATCTGATCTGTAGCCTCCGACGTCTCCGCGGCCGCAGCCTCACGCTCCTTCCTCGCATCTTCAATTAAACTCTGTCGCCTGCCCAGGAACCGTGGGGACTGTAGGGCAAGCGAGGCGCAAAATAAACTCACGGAAAACGCTGGGACACAATGCTTTATCTGTTAATTTGCTTTTACATGGCATGCATTTGTTTCCTATACACTTGCTTCTGTGTGTTGAGGTGGGACTTTACCTCGCGGGAATCCATGTAGGTAGCCTTACATATCCAAAAACGCATGAAAACATGAATGCATGCCGTGTTAAGGTTGCGCGCCGCGGACATCAGACCCCGCATTTTATCCCTATCACATAAGCAGGCACTTCAGCATCCCTTGACCGCGCTTATCCGCACTTATGTACACTCTCCACCCCGTGCGTAATACTGGCCCTGCACGCCAAAGAGCGTAATGACAATAAGACCCCAAATTCGCCCGGCAGCCAGCGCAGACTTAAACTAATTTTTGCGCATCCAGCACTGATAGAAGTACAGACGTGACTCTTATCTTACTCTTGTTTCTTTTCTTACCGTAATCGAATCCGATCTGTCAAGTTCAGATCCTGCCCTGCCAATAGTCTTTGTGGAAGAAGTGGAGCTGTTCGAGATAGGCATTTTTTTTGTATTTTTATATATTTATTTTTAATTTCTGTCTATGTCGTCAGTCCTTTGGGACTGTTCTCAGCTGCAGTGATGAGTGTACACAGATTTCTTTTCCAACCGATGTACGCCTGTCCACTCCCGTATTTATAGAAGTCATTTCTCTTTCCTGACGTCAAGCCCCGCCAATTTCCTTATCTACAAACAAGCAGCCCCTAACACTTTTATTCTGTTCAACTTAATTTCACCAATATTGCGGATTAGGATGCGTATTCTGTTCAGCCTATCAGTACCAGTTGCTGGATTTGTAACACAAAGTTTAAAAGCCTTTTGTCAGTTATATTGGATCACTCATTCTTTTTGTTTCCACGTAGTTCAATGGGAGGTAAAATTTTCATTTACTCCATAATACGGTATATGCACCTGCCATCAACAATACAGTTCACACCATTTACTGATAAAGAATTGATTGATTTGTTTTTGTTTTGAACAAAACAAAATATTTCATGCTATGTAACATATAATCACTGACAGTTTGCTATCTGTATTCAGCACGCGTGCTACGTGCATAAATGCTATACTATTATATATTTTTATTATTATATAAGTAAATATGTAATAAATTATCATTGTAAAATTAAAACAATTGTTCAAATCGAAGGATACAAAGACTGCGATAAAAACAGACTTTCAACACGCTAAGGTAATTTTTCTTTGCTCAGTTGTTCTTTCTGTTTCCAACATAATTGTACTCAGCAAATCATCATGGTTGTGGTAAACAACTGCAGGACTTTCATTAGCTTACTACTCATTAGTTCTGCTTAATCTCTATTTGGAAGGGGGACCAAGGCCGGCGTGTATCTCTGACAGAATAGAGTCACTAGGAGCCTTTCACCTGTTGCTGCTTTGGAAATGCGATTCACGTGGAAACCTGCGGTAAGTGGCGTTTTACCTCTAGCTGAAAACCACTTGATGGTTAACGCGATTGGAGATGTGATGCACGCAGCCCCGCGGCACGAAGACTAAAGTGATTAGCCGTAGTCTTTGCCCTGAGTGCTGCTACAGCTGGGCGCCTCGGCCAAACACAAGGGTTATAACTCCAGAACACAGACTGAAAATGTTAAAGAGCACCGATATAGCCCGCAGCGGTTAAACAAAAAGGCCCCCCTTTATTTGAAAGGACAAGCGAACAGAAGGAGGTAAAACACACTGGCATCACCCCGCGTTTTTCCAGTAATTTTCTGCATGATATCAGTACAAATTATATTTTTCTAGAGTTCACGATTCTCTATGATGTAGCTGAGTCACGCTGTTAAGGATTTTAGTGATGTTAACATTTATTTAATGACGTGTATTTTATATTTGCTTGTATTGGAATTACGCGTTCAAATAGCCTACTGCTTTAAAAATTGCTTACGTAATAATACCACGATCTTACAACTAGGATAACCAGAGAGGTTACGGAAGCGGGGGGCTCATCACCTCCCCCTGGGGGCACTGGCAAGAAAGCTGGCCTCTAAGTATTTTTTGCTCCAGGTTTGAGCCATAGGTTCGGGTCCCAAACATCTGATCAGCTGACTCACCAGTGGCTCCGACTCCCCAGGTAATGCATGTCTTTGTTTTAAATGTCGTTCCTGATGAGGTGACATCCTGCTGCTTTTCTGAACCTGCCAATTGTTCCTTATTTTTCCCCCGATCTGTGACTTATGGAGAAACCCAAAACGGCAAAATTACAATTATTGCAATTACGCATTGATTTCCCCTACAGCCTCCACATATTGAACCCAGCAGCTTCTCCTGCATAATTGTTAGATTTCAGACAGGGTAATTGCAGTGTGCCCAGCTGGCTAATTAGTCATCACCTTTTGCCTTTCTTCTGGCTATTAAATGTTGTCCATTGTCACGGGGTGTCATTACCCTCCACCAGATGCAGCACAATAAATAAATATCCTCTGTACAGCTGTTTGATAACATGTAAGAGCAGGAACGGCCGGCAGAGCACAACCGACCATCATTGCCCATTCCTCCCTTAAACGTTGACCCTAAATAGATCATTCAACGAGCTCTGCACGATTCCATTTTCGCCCAGGATGGGCAGGTAATTTGCTTTGTGGTGGAGCCTTTCAGAGCTGTGCTCTCATTCTTCTGTCAGGGTTGACTGTCAGAGAGGCATCACACTGGAAGCAGGACAATTGCCCTGTTTCCCCCACTGGATCTTCACTGCCCCTTTTCTCCTCGTCTGGATTTGGAAGGAACGTTGGAAACTAAATAGGTTTTGTGTATCTGGATATTTTTATACACATTTTTGTCTGAGGTATTTATCTGTGACAGTATGAGTGAGTTACGCCATGAAATCCCTGTCAAAGTTCAGTTATGAAGTGCAACAGGGATGCTTGGCCCTTTCAACTACACCCAAGAAGGTTTTAGGGCTGGGACCTCCAAATCTGGTCCTGGAGAGCTACTGTTCAGTAAGCTTTCTATTCTACCTGGCTTCTGATGAGCCACACCTGTTCCTGTTAATTACCAGCCAGGTAGGATAGAAAACCTACTGGGTTGTAGCTCTCCAGGACTGGAGATGGAGACCCCTGTTTTGGGGTCTAAATTTTCCTCACCTGTGTTTGATCCTCACCTCCACTGTCAGCCCAGGAATCCTTAGAGAAGGCCTCTGCACAGAGCACTGGATACACAGCCTAGTGTTCACTGTGGTTCCGCACAGAGCACTGGATACACAGCCTCGTGTTCACTGTGGTTCCTCTTTCTGTCCTTTGCATATGCTCTAGGGCAGTGTTTCCCAATCCGATCATTAGGTATCCACAGTCATCCAATTTTTTCGCTCCTTCCAAGTTCCCTGCCAGACAGTCCCCGTTTTTTCACCCCCCCCCCCCCCGGGCTCCTGGTAGAGAGCTGGGAGGGAGCAAATATGTGGAATGTCTGTGGGTCCCTGAGGACTGGATTGAGAAGCACTGCTCTAGGGCCAACAATGTCAAGAATGACCTCATTTAAGTAGGCTATTCATTCTATGTTATCTACAAATTTCTATCTACAGACATTTCAACATTAGAACAGCTATTGCTTTGGAAATAAATGTAATAATAAATGAATTATGGTGCTCATTTACGCAAACAGACATTAACAGACACATACAACATGCATATTATCTAGTAGGCCTATATCTGCATTACCATGTATATTACTAAATAGCCCCTTTGTCATAAAGATGTTTCCTGTCCACTTTGTCCTTTAAAGCTTCACATAAACAACTCTAACATTATTGCGTCATTATGTGCTAGGTCAGGAGCTTAACACCATTTTTGTTGCGCCATTTCTTGTCATTTTTAGCCACTCTGTAATTACTGGTACCCGTGATTGCTTTCGTACATGTCAAAATACAGCTGCCAATTGGAATGACTAATCATGTAGAGTGCAGTGTTATTGCTTTTTACATGTGCAATTTGTCAAAAGTGGCAGAGCGTCGGAGAGGGCACGAAGGGCGAGGTATCTGGCAACGGGAAATGACAGCTTAGAGCTCGACAAGGCGCTGACGGGGGACCCGCTTGCCCAGCGCGGTTCCGGTCTCCCTAGTCCTGCCGTCTCCGCTTCCTGTCTGTAAGTCGAATGCCGTACGTCCTTTTCGCTGTTGGAGATACAGCATTTCAGATCGACTTAGATATATAAAAGATTCCAGAATTACACTTTTATGCAATCTATTATTCTAGGTAAAAATGTTACCCTATGCAAACGAATTTCTTCTTGGAATAAAGTCAATTCAATCAATCAATCAATCAATCAATCAATCTATATCTATCTATCTATCTATCTATCTATCTATCTATCTATCTATCTATCTATCTATCATCTATCTATCTATCTATCTATCTATCTATCTATCTATCTATCTATCATTAATCTAATCTAATCTAATCATCTGCCAGTCTCATCACCTCGAACCAACGTCAGAATTAAATATGCGCTGGTTAAATGACAGCACGGGACCATAACCTGACTAATTAATTGAGTTTGCTTTATCTTCTCTAGTAGGAAAATCACCGAGAGTGTAATCGTTGCTGGAGACACGGGCGGAAGCAGAAAGATCATATCTTTCAGTTGCAATATTGGAATCCGTTATGAATGACATTTATTACCTTTGTGAAAAAATTGCTGGAGACACAAGAACCGAGTCCTGCACAACTGAGAAAGCAATTGTGCTTTTTAAACGATTATGGCGTGTTAATTTTCTGTATATGCCAGGAATTATGTCCCTTGTCTAAAAATCACGGCTGTTTCGTCTGTCAGGCTTCCATAGCAGGTAGGCCTATTGTGAATATATAATCACACCATACATTGGCGTGCACTGTTCGTTACGCCTTAATAAATAAATTCATATAAAAAATCTCTTTTAGCATAAATGTTTAAATGTTTGTACACCAGGGTTGGGGCCATTCCGGAATGCATTGATCAATTCCAGTCCAAATCAGGAAATGGAACTGGAGTTGGAACTTAAATCTCCCTGAAATTCAAATTCAACTCCAATTCTGTTCCTCGTAGTTTTTTCCCAATCCCAGCTCCAGTTCCATTTCCTGATTTGGACTGGAATTGATCAATGCATTCCGGAATGGCCCCAACCCTGTTGTACATCAAAACTCGTGAACACAACACCTGCCTCTTAAATGTTAGGCAGCTTGGATAATTTTGAAAGACGTGTGCATTTGCGAGACCTGCCACTTCCACAAATGCCATTCAGCATATGCCAGTTTTTTGCATTAATTCGTTACGTCTGGACTGATGCACCAGCCTTCTTACGTCACAGAGACGTCTGATTTCACCAGAATATGACATTCGATAGTGGTTTTCTAAAGTCATCTTTTCAGAAATTCATCTTAATTCACTAGCGTATAGAAAAGATTATTGTTTGTCCTGGTATTTCTTTAAATTAAATATTCCCAATTATTCAGGGCATAAGCATCACAATAAACAAATTAAACATGTAAAATCACTACAAAGAACATAGTCAAATGCAGCACAGGCTAGTGCAATATGTAAATGAAATTTTAAAAACAATTTTATATAAAATAGCGATTGGGACTTTATCGTACGTGGTGACCTGATACTGGTACAGAGATGCGTAAGTGTTTGTGCGTAATTTTACAGAGGGAGTAAAATCTTTCCGTGCCACGGGCATATGCCACTCGACATGCCACCGCTACGTGCGCATGGCACTCGACATGTCACCGCTACGTGCGCATGGCAGTGGCAGCTGCCACTCCACATGCCACCGCTACGTGCGCATGGCAGTGGCAGCTGCCACTCCACATGCCACCGCTACGTGCGCATGGCAGTGGCATCAGCTACTTCACATT